TTGTTTCTTGTAGAGATGCACCGATCGATCGGCCAGGGATCGGAATCGGCCGATTTTCCTCCTGATCGGTGATCGGTCGGTCAGTCTCACTTCTTTCTGATTTTGAGCCAATCCGTTTTGTTACCAGCAGCACAGGCAATAATGTCAGCCGTGCATTCTCGCTCTCTTCTCTCCGACGACCCCTTCTCTCTCACACACGTCTCATTCGCTCCGGTTAAATAGTGCTTGTATTGCGCATTATTTTAGTAATTCCTGCAGGTGTCGTGCTTATACCAAATGCACCACCACTGATCTATATTAGTGGAGTGCACAATCCGCGCTCAGTCTCAAACAGCTTGTGAGCCACAAATACCAAAATGAGTGCATGGCTAACTGCGCTAAAACGTTCAAATACATACAAAATTGTCAAAATGCCCATTTTGGAACGTTAAATAGTTGAGAAAGAGAACGCATGTTGTGTAACAGTATATTGGGTCCGTGGATAAACTCTTAAAGGGACCGCAGTCCAGTATTTATGCTGCTGTCTGTCATGTTAATCAAAGAACAAAAGACAAAAAAAAGAATTTTCTGCTCTTGACTGAATATGTTTTATAACTTTAATGGTAAGCATTAATCTGTATTTAATTTTTACAATGAAGACTACAGAAATTAAAGTAATCAAATGTAAAATAACACTGGATGTGTTATTTTACATTTGATTACTTTAATTTCTGTAGTATTTCTTAACTGAATAAAAACTTACTTAACCTGAAAAACTTAGTTTCATAGCTCTCTTTATTCTATTGCATTTATTTGTGCTGTTTGCAATTTTTTTTATTTGTTCTTATTTTATTACTGACTTTTACTTGTTTGTTTTTTTATGAAAATAAAACTTTGCATTGAAGAAAAGTCGATTTTTGTTTGTATATGCTGTCAATTATAGTTCTTAGAAAGAAAATCGGAATCGGCAAAAATCGGTATCGGCAGATCACACTAACGAACAATCAGAAATCGGAATCGGCCAAGAAAATTGCAATCGGTGCATTTCTAATTTCCTGTGTTATTCTTAGTGAAGAAGATTCTGGAAAACATGCCTTGATTATGTTTAACTAGATTTATTATGTGAGTGATTTAATAAATCAATATAATAATCTAAATTATAATATTATTAAATAAATAATATAATATCAATAAACCGTTGTATTTTACTCCCTCCATTAAACATTTTGAATCTAACTGGTTACAATGTTTGTCAAAATTGCTGATTTAAAAACAATAAAATCTGTTTAAACATTGGCATGTATATTAAATTTTCCTAAAGGATGAAAAATATAAATGCATTTGTTTAGCTACTGTATATCACACCGAGGTAGAAAACGCGACTGCTATATAGGCAGAATTTCAGTGCATTACCAAAATATGAAGTTTATTCATTTCTTTTAAAGGGGTCATATGATGCGATTTCAATTTTTCCTTTCTCTTTGGAGTGTTACAAGCTCTTGGTGCATAAAGAAGATCTGTAAATTTGCAAAGACTAAAGTCTCAAATCCAAAGAGGATATTCTTTATAAAAGTTAAGAGTCAGCCACACCTCCATAAAACGGCTCGTTCGAACACGCCCCCACATGTCTACCTCACTATGTGGGAAGATTTGCATAACGCCGCCCAAATGTTCACGCAAAGAAAGAAGGCGTAACTTTTAGTCTCGCTGTAGTATTGTTGCTGCCGCCATGTCCTGAAGACGCTGTGTGCTTCGTTGTGAAAGCGAAACTACTTTGTTTGGTCTTCCAAAAGAGGACGATATCTGCTTTGTCATGCCTGGAGCTGATCTGTGCTGGTCGCTGAGGAAATACTTCAACTTAGTGCTGTGGATCGCCGGCACATTTTATGGAGGACTGTTTACTGATCCTGGGAGAGTAACGTTAGACTAAAATGCTGGCAGTTCTGACTCACGTAAGTACGTTTTCTTTTATCATTTGCCACTGATGATTCAAACGCGAGTTTTGGGAAGTGTAGAATAGCACTTGTAGTTTGTAATTTCTCCGATCACAAATGCAGACAGGGTTTTATGTTTACCCGGCACAATGCAATGCAACGCAATGTGTAAAAAGACAGGATAAGTCATTATAATCAGTAATTATGTCCCCACTGGATGCAACAAATGCCTAGTTTATAATGGGTTTTAATGTTTTTGAATCATCGCTCCGGCCGGGACACGGCATCAACAGTATGTGAGGGGCGTAACATTTCCATCTCACGCTTGAGGTATTCGGCCAATCACAACGCACTGGATAGCTAGCCAATCAGAGCACACCTCGCTCTTTCAGACCGATGTGTTTTGTAAAAATCGACACGTTTCAAAAAGGCGGGGCATAGAGGAGAAACAATAATGTACAGTATGTGGAAAATAATGTGCTTTTTTAACTTTAAACCGCATAAACACATTTCATTACACCAAATACACAAAATAATGTTATTTTTAGCAGCATCATATGACCCCTTTAATCCATCCTCCAGTTAATTTTTTTTTGTTCCCCATTTCCCTTCCTCCTTTTTCCTCATGTGCCTTCTGGATCGGTTCTTTCGCTCTGCTCGTAATTTGATGACTAGCAGCTGCAGATCATTCCGCATGCAAATAAACATCCAGGTTTCCGGAAACATCCAACGTTCCGATTAGCATTTCTTTCTTTTTCGCATTCTCTCTTTTCTCACTCCTGCATATTTTTTAGTTCTCGCTTACATCCACTTTCTCAGTTTCCACATGCTCCAGTGCCATTATCTACATTTTCTGAAATGTCCATACATGGGTGTCTGCCAGGCCAAACCGAAGCAGTGTCCTTTTTTTAGGGCAATTAGAAAGATTCAAACTGAAAGATTGGCTGCAGAAAACTGGGGTACACGGGTTTCATCCTTGAAATCAAGACTGCAGAGACTTGCAGCTCTGCATGGCTATAGCTTTCTGTTTGAAAACAGACTATTTGCTCTAATTGATGTTTACTCAGAAGTTTTCTGCTTGCTGGAGACACACTCACACTGGTGAAGGATGAAGCTGTCGTGACCAGAGCACAGATGCAAATGCTTGCATTTCCAATGTATTGCAAGTGCGCATCGCATTGCTCGTTCATAAATAAAATATTGAGCCTACTTACCTTATTAATCCATGTTCCTGCTCTTATTATGAATGATCTTATAATGATGATTTATATCTTTCATCATGTACACTACTGGTCAAAAGTTTGGAATAATTAAGGTTTTTAATGTTATAAAAAAATATTATACTCACTAAGGCTGCATGTAAATAAATACACAGTAAAGGCAGTACTATTGTAAAATATTACTACAGTTTAAAATAAACTTTTTTTTAATTTTAATATATTTTCAATGTATTCCTGTGATGCAAATATGATCATTACTCCAGTCTTCAGTGTCATATTATCCTTCAAAAATCATTCTAATATGCTGATTTGCTTGATTATTATCAATTATTTTTGACGCCCAGTTATTAATAATAGTATCAATGTTGAAAATGTTTTTTTGCTGCTTAATTGGTGTTTTTTGTTTTTCAGGATTCTTTGATGAATAGAACATTCAAAAGAACAGCATTTGTTTGAAATAACATTATAAATGTATTTACTGTCACTTTATTAATTTAATGTGTCCTTTCTAAATAAAAATATCAATTGTATTTATTTATTTAGCACAAACATTCACAGTTTTCACAAAAATATTTAGCAGTAAAAAATTGTCAGCATTGATGATAATAAGAAACATGAATAATTGAGCACCAATAATAATGAATACTATCTCCATCACAGGAATAAATTACATTTTAAAGTATATTTAAATAGAAAGCAGTTATTCTTAATTGTAATATTATTATTTATTTAAATTGTATTTTAATAATATTGTAATAATATTTAGTTTTTACTCAAATAAATGCAACCTTGGTGAGCATAGAACATTTATTTCAAACAAATCATAATTATTTTTATGATTATCTCAAATCACCTGACTTTATTCTGATATGTATCAATTCTCAATAAATAAAATCAAGCCCTGTCCAACATTTTTCTTGTTGAATATTTTGATTATAGAAGTAAAATGGGTTTCAAACGCCATTTCACATTGGCTTTAACACATTACTGTGATATAATGTCACATTTTCCGATAAGACAGCAAGATTCTCTTCAGACTGTTGCTCCACCATGACAGTATGGTAGTTGATCTAAAATAGAAAACGGGAAAAGGAAGACAGTTTTTGCTAATGTCTGCTATTGCACGCTTGCAGTCATCCTGAGAATGCACCGTACTGTGCTATGAGTTCTTTCACAATGCAATGCCACGTGAAATCGAGCTGTATGTTCTCTTGGCGTCTTCATTAGTTTGCCATCTCTGTTCATTGTCAATAGCTCCGTTTAGTCTGCTGTTTTCCAGCCAGATTGACTTGCACACTAGATCAGCACGACTGGAGAGAAAGACGAACAGCTCGAGATGAAGCAGAGGGCTTGAGAGATGAATCGAGAGAGAGAGAGACAGAGTGGGTTGAGTCAGATTTCTCATCAGTGGGCAGATTTTCTTCATGGCCGGAGACCAGCACATCAAGAGCCAACAGCAGATGGCCTTACAACAATAACATTTCTCCACTTCTCTCCATTTTTTTACCTTCACCTATGAGCGAGTGCTGCACTGTCTAAAGTCATCCACTCATTCTTTCCTTATGTGTACCTCTTGTGAATGTTAATGGAATGTGAATCATTTGTTTTGCGCAATTGGAGATGTTCGTGATGCACTGCATTGTGTTTATAATTGGCCCTTATGCATTTTTTGGACCATGCTGTAAAGAGAAGCTCAGCAGTGGCCTTGGTAACATCAGTTTTCCTGTGGAGATGCTGGCTTGTTTGGCAAACGAGACTGGAGCCAGATCTGACAGCCAGCGCCGGGCTTAAAGCTGTCATGATGCCTCCGTTCATGCAGACAAACTCCTCTTCTTTCTGCTAATGGCTCTCTCCTTCTCTTCCTCAGGGCATCTGGCGTATTCCAGTAGATGAGATCGATCGTCCTGGTAGTTTTGCATCTCATATGAACAGATCCATCGTGCTCTTGCTGGATGTTCTGTCTCAACTGAAAGATCACCACACTTTACTTAAAATCTCCCTTATGCTTCAGAGAACCCCTGAGCAGGGAAAGTAAGACGATGCAAATAATTAATTAGTTTATTTTGTTTTGCTCATTTAATTAAATGTGCATATTTATAACAGGAAACGGAGTGAAGTAGCCTCTTGAAATGCAGTGTTGCCAAATGCTTGTGAAGAATTCAATTAACCTTGCATGTTTGTTATGAATGTTGTTTGAAAATATGAAAATTTATAGCATTTCATACCGTTATCATAAAAATTTTTTTTGTGGGTTTGTTTTCCCATTTTGTTATATATGACGCATATGGCATGAAGCATTTTAATGCAAGGACATATATCTTTTTATGTTGTGTGTTATAGGAAGTACTTAAGAGATGTGGACCGACAAGTTTTGGCCAAGCGAGCATTTTTCTTCACTGTAAAAGTGCTGGAAGACAATCTGGATAAACTCACAGGGGTATGAAAGCTAAATTCTCATTTGTTTTGGTTTGTTTTTCGACGTTTTTTTTTTTATTTGTATGTGTTTTTATTGTGTTTCCTATGGAGACTCTGCCATGTTTGGGAACTGAGACTTAAACCAGATCTGACAGCCAAGGATCCGCTTATGTTTGTGCTAACACATTAGTTAATGCCATCCCGACTGCTCAAAGAACAGCGTGAGAGCTTCGCTCAACTTAATGCCTGTGCTTCTTTCTTCAGACATTTTACATTGAGTTAAAGATCCAGTAGTGCAAAAATGTTCCTTCCTCACCCCTAGTGTCACAGCCTTTTCAAAGTTTGCACTAATCATAATATATTAGCATACGTCTTGCTTTCTGTCAGCAGAATCATCCTTACTTACATGCGTTACTTTGTTCTCCACTTTAAAAGAGGTTTCTTTGTCACATGTTGTGTGAAGATGTCTTATCATATCTGTATCATTCTCTTTCTCAGGTAAGTGATCCCCCTAAACCGTCTGCCACCTCTATGGGTGAAATGACCACTGCGGATGTGTCCAATCAGCCCCCTGCTGTGGAGGACCCCAAATGCTCCCACGCCACCCAGCCTAAAGCAGGACTCCCCGACACCCCTAAGGCCACAGGAAGTGAGACCGGACCTCCTGGCATACCTCAGCAATGTTCAGCCACTCTTCAGCTCTCCCTGGAGCCTTTAAATCAGGCGGCAGAGGCCGCCGTTCACCCCAGAGAAGGTACTTCAGCACTTGCAGAGCCTATGGAGCTTGGCCCCGGATCATGGCCGGGTGCCTCAAAATTCAGAGACCCTCAAACGCCTGCTGAAACCAGACCACAGGAGCAGGGGGTGGATAAATCGGCAACAGAGGAGGCCGATAAGGTCCTAGAGAGCAGTCGTGCATCTGAGCTATCGCTGGAGGAGTTGAGCATTAGCTCAAAACAGCAGCAGCTACAGAATCAGGTGAACGCAGCTAAAGGAGCACTTAGTATGGTCACAACACCAACAGCCAGCAACCCCACACCTCTACCCAGCACCCCTGAGGTGGGACCACAGCAGAGACCCAGCAGGAAGAGGAAGCTGCTGGATGACGTGGAGTCGGGCAAGACACTGCTTTTGGATGCGTACAGGGTGTGGCAGCAAGGTCAGAAGGGCATGACCTACGACCTGCGGCGCATCGAGAAGATCATGTCCGAGACCTACATGCTGATTAAACAGGTAAGAAAAGATGCACGTAGGGCTTGGGGGTGTGCGGTATTGACCAAATGAAATCTCAGTTTTTCCTGGAATTTTGTTTAGGCAAATAATTAGACAAAAACTATAGACATTAACTTTTCATTAAGGGGTGACATTTGCCACCTTAAATTGATTTCCAGGGCTTTTTTTCCCCTTTTATGAGGACAATTTTTCTAGCCTTGTTAGATGTATGCATAATCAAATTCTTACATTTAATCAATAACTTGAGTTTGAATAATAAGACGCTGTAGGCTGTTACCAATCAAATTAAATCATTATCAGCAAATAAAGCAATAAGCCCCAAGAAGCCATGGTTTACAGTGAATTTATAATGGCTAAGGAGTCATGCCTAAATCCCCCTTAGCTGTTCTAAATTCACTGTAAACCACGGCTTCACGGGGCTTTTGTAAAACGGTTATTCCATATACGTAGCAAGGTTTCACAAAATAAAACAAAGCAAGTCAAATGTAATGATTTTAATAAAAGCATTCTTCTGCCAAACAGTACAGTTCCTCAAAAATGGCCGAGCAACACACAGAAACAAAGAGATGTATGTTTGTAGAGTAATTTGCAACAGCTTCGAACGCAGCTCAACCAATCAGGATCAAGGACCGGAACTGTCCGTTTATAACACATCACATCGCAGTTCCCTTTTAGGACTGATTGCTGCATTGTCAGTTCTCATTCAGACATGACGTGGCATGACAGTCGTGACCGAAGGTAAATGTACGATCACTGTGACAGGGAAATCCCACAACTTTTGTTGAACAAAACCGAGATAAAACACTGAGAAGATTTATGAGGGAAAGTCCGAAAAATCTGATACGGCATAGGACAAAACTTGTTGGCTTTGTTGCTGTCAGTGAAACATCTTGGGCAATATTTACTTGGTGTCAGACTCAAGGAAGATAACCTAGAAAATAAAACGTAAGTGGGGTTTGTACATGTGAAACGTGCCACTGCAATGCTAGGGTATCGCTAGTGCTTTTCCAGTCTGCGGTTACTAAAGTGTTCTGGGTAATTTGTGTGTGTGTGTGTAGCCCACGTCCGAGTCTATGATATTCTGGGCTCTAGATATGACTTGAGTCTTCCTTCAGTCTAGCATAAATGGTGCGGGATGAATTACCTGCCGTTTATTACAAGGATCTGAACAAAACTCCCTAACCCTAAATGTGAGCAATATTAATGCTTGCCTTAGCATAAACAGCTAGTAAAAGTAATTATTTTAGTCACGAAGCAGGCTGTAAAGTGGGATGCGTATTGCGAGTGTGATAGAGCTATACTATGTTATATTATACAGACATTAAGGCATCCCTGGGGAGAGCAAGCGAGAGCCAATTGAATACAAATGGAACTGTGGAAAATTACTGGTGTAGCTAATGATAGTGTAGCACACGAGCTCCATAACATTTGTCATCGTAGTGCTGAGTCAAGTACGCTGTTGTATAAGAATTCACCAAGAATCAGTGAGGTCTAAAAGGACCGGTTTCTGGCGTTTTATTACACACTGAACCTCAAATGCCCTTGAATACATGGTGAGTATGTTAGCATATTGTACACAGTGCTGGGTAGTAACTGATTACATGTAATCTGGATTACGTAAAAGCAAGTTCTTGTAATTAGATTGTTGCATTTCAGAATACTCGTAATCAGGCTAAAGTTACTTTTTATTGATAGCATTAATATGTATTATTTGCACAATAGCAATAAATAATTTAGAATTTATAGATTCTCCCTTATTCTTATTTTTTATCGTTTAAATTTTCCTTTCTAAAATAAAATACCACTTTGCTACATTTCAGAAAGTCTTTCAGTTTTGTGGACATTCACACAAAGACCAGTTACTAGTCAAGTACTACTACTACTACTACTAATAATAATAAATAAATAGTTATCACAACATTTGACCACTGGATTTACTAAAATCATAATTTTGTTTTAAATTCCAAGTGCTTTCTCTGCATTTCAACATTGCATCAACTACTGAACACATTAATTTCATTTGAATTATTGCTCAGTTGGTTAACCATAATATGACTTATCATCAAATTATTTATTTTAATTTTATATTTTTATGATTTCAGTTATCAGTTATCTTTTCATTAAACCCACAATCCTGCTGCAGTTTCTTCATGAACCCCAGTTTGGGAAACCTTGATGTAAATGACGTAAATATAAGTGGGCGAATAATTATGTGTGTGTGTGTGTGTGTGTGTGTGTGTGTTGATGTAAATGACGTAAATATAAGTGGGCGAATAATTATGTGTGTGTGTGTGTGTGTGTGTGTGTGTGTGTGTGAGAGAGAGAGAGAGAGAGAGAGTACGATTTGTACAGTAAGAAATTAATACTTCATGGATTAATTTGATCAAAAGTTTTGTTTTTTGTTTTTTTTTAGATATCAAGAATCAGATACTTTCGTGTGACAGTTTTTTTGTTGTAACGTTGTAACTGGTTTTGTCGCATGAAAGTAGCTACCTATTAATTTAATTTAACCTTTAAAATAAATCTTTTATGTAAATAATATTTTAAATGTAAATATATTTTATATTACATTATATATTTTAAATTATATATAACACGGCAATATACAACATTTTTCGTTGTTACAAAAATTCTGTTTAAAGTGTAAAAGTTTTTACTGTTTTAATAACTTAACCATTAATATTTAAATTAAATTATTCAATTCAATTCAATCAACATGGACTCTTTTGATATGGGCCAGTAAGTAACCATCTAGTACCCATCGAAAAGACCCTGTGAACCACCTACCAGTGCGCTGAAAAATCTGCTGTGTTAAAGGGGTGATATGATGCGATTTTTAAATTTTTCCTTTCTCTTTGAAGTGTTACAAGCTCTTGGTGCATAAAGAAGATCTGTAAAGTTGCAAAGACTAAAGTCTTAAATCCAAAGAGATATTCTTTATAAAAGTTAAGGGTCAGCCACACCTACCTAAAACGGCTCGTTCTAACACGCCCCCACATATCTACATCACTATGTGGGAAGATTTGCTTAACGCCGCCCAAATGTTCACGCAAAGAAAGAAGGTGTAACTTTCTCGCTGTAGTATTGTTGTTGCTGCCGCCATTTTGTGGAGACGCTGTGTGTTTCGTTGTGAAAGCGAAACTACTTTGTTTGGTCTTCCAAAAGAGGACGATATCTGCTTTGTCATGCCTAGAGCTGATCTGTGCTGGTCGCTGAGGAAATACATCAACTTTGCGCTGTCAATCGCCGGATCGGCTTTCACCGTGGACGAAGCGGAGTCCAGCCCGGGGTCGTCACTTGTGGTTGCCGCAAGCCTCCTTTGTAGAATCCGCCGAGCACCACTCACTCAAGCCTCTGTGTGTTTCGTTGTGAAAGCGAAACTACTTTGTTTGGCCTTCCAAAAGAGGACATAATGTTTCTATAAAGTGGGGCAGTTCCAACTTTGCAAGGACAGTCTGGCGCTTCTGACTCACAGCCTGCAAGTACGTTTTTTATATTTAAAGGATTTGCCACTGATGATTCAAACGTGAGTTTGAGCAGTGTAGAGTAGCGCTTATTATTTGTCATTTCTTCTATCACAAATGCAGACATGGTTTTATGTTTACGCGGTGCAATACGCAACACAAAGCATAAAAACACAGTATAAGTCATTAAAATCAGTAATTATGTCCCCAATGGATGCGACAAATGCCTTGTTTGTAATGGGTTTTATTGGTTTTGTCTCGTCGCGCCGGACACATGGAAACCATAGACTGTATGATGGAAACATGGAAAAGTATGGTAAGGGGCGTAACATTTCTGTCACACGCTTGAGGTATTCGGCCAATCACAATGCACTGGATAGCTGGCCAATCAGAGCACACCTCGCTTTTCAGAACGATGAGCTTTGTAAAAATCGACACGTTTCAGAAAGATAGGGCATAGAGGAGAAACAATAATGTACAGTATGTGGAAAATAATGTGTTTTTTTTTTTACCTTAAACTGCATAAACACATTGCATTCCACCAAATGCACAACATAATGTTCTTTTTAGCAACATCATATGACCCCTTTAAGTTCATAGTGTTTTTAAGCAGAGGACGCCCGACAGATTACCGTAGAAATGTGTCTTTGTTTTGAATAACAAAATCCAAGTTATTATGTCTCATTATGCCTTTTCCCCCAATTTCATCAGCAAGTGTTGAACTCTGTATTTAAAAAACAAACTAGCAAAGTTACCATTAAAGTATCTTATTAGGATAGGAGGTTAATGGCTCTAGATGGCAGTACACACACACATACACACACACACACACACACATCTCATCTAGTCCATTATCAACCTCTACCTCTCTAACAGTGTATCACCTCTCATTTCCCCTGCCTGTGTAATTGCATCTGCTCTGTGAGTGAGTGAGTGTGTGTGTGTGTTTGTTTGTCTAATTGTAGTGCTTGTCTCTGTGTGTGTTTATGCATGTTTTTGTGTGTGTTTGTTTCCTGCAGTTGTTTGTTATGAAGCACTGTCTAATTCACCCGGTGAAGAACAGATCTCTGATTGAGATGACAGTGGAAAGGAGAGAGATTTTAATGTGACCCCTGGACACTGACTCACTGGTCAAATTGGCCCATCTTTACCTCGCTGATTGAGGAAAGATTGTATGTCATGAATTTAACAGTCCACTTTATTTGGGGCCTACATGCATAATGCATTATCAAGATGCATTGGATTGGATTTGTTTTTTTTTTTTCATGAACTTGTTGCAGTGCCTTCTTGAATTTATCTTCCCTGCAAAAGATATGTGTGGCACTGCTTTAGAATTTGGCTAAAATGTGGTATCTTAGTAGGCAGCATAATTAAGTTGCCTACATTTTGAACAGGTTTCACATTGGGAGTGTTTTGAGGGCCTATGATGAAGTGCTGCATCCATAGACCACACACTATGTTTTGTAATAAAGCAGTTATGATCAGTCTTGTAAATAATGGTAACCACAGTTATAAACGCACAGGAAATGCAAACAG